GGGGGGAGAGAACCTGCCCACGATTAAACAGGGTGAAAGCAATACTGAATCATCACCATCGTCACATTTTAAGAAAAGCTGTGAACTCAAACAGTGTTTCCAAATCAGGAATCGAGAAGATGCTGTAAATGCTACTCCACCCAAGCATCACTGAAAGCTACTGCTGGTCCCTTTGACTCATGTGGTGAGGAGAGGGGCCGTAAATAACACCAGCCGCCTCAGTTTGCTGGAAAATGGTCTTTCGCAGGATGACTAACAGCATGATGGAGGTGGGAGTAGTGAACACATGATGTAATCCATATGCTCGAGGCTTAAATACCATATCAGTAGGGATCTGTATACTGTACAAGTTGGTGCGTTGTTACTTATCATACATACAGGCATGCGTGGGTGCCTCTATACCGACTACAGCAGCACTAATGCAGGCCGAAATCACAAGTGGCACAAACGTGAAAAATCCCAGCTTGAAAACACTATTTGAGTTCGAGTGTGTGATGAGTGCGTGCCGAGTGGGGAGTCTTCTCCGGGAGTTTAGAGTTGGCGGGGACGGGTCTAGTGATGCCGAACCAACCGAGATGCTGCTTCAAAGGGTGTGGTAGTTGCGCTCCTTGGACTTGCAGAATTTGTAGATGAAGAAAATCACCGCCTGCAGGCCCAGCACCAGCACTATTCCACCGATGAAGCTCGCGGCATCAAAGGTCGAGTTCTTTTGAGGGGCAGGGGTCGGGGAGACCGTCGCGTGGCTTGTGGTGGTTCCGGCTGTGAAAGCGAAGGAGATCGGAGATTAGATAGTCTGGTTTATATACATTTACAGGGCAGAAATAAAAAGGTTCTTGCACTATCGCACTGTCAGACTTACTTAAAGTAGAAGATGTAGTGGGGAGGGAGGTGTTACTACTCGGAGTGGTGACAATAACAGTTCCATTTCCTGTAGTAGAGTTAGAAAACATACATTAACCTTGACCCCAGTACGTTGATTTTAATATTTTCAAGTTGTAATCCTTAAACTTCAATTTCTGGCCGATTTGGTAAAGAAAGAGCAACAGAACTGAACTAGGGCAACTAAATTATGTGCCTTCGAGCTTCCTACTGTCTTGGAAAACAATGTTCCGTTGCAATGAACTCTTTGTTGTCGTCATGTCATGTGCACTTGAATGTGAGCTTGTGCATGCAGGATTGTAACTTTAAAATATCTTAAAACTCCTTACAACCATTTGAAACCTTGTTTACAGAGCGACGGAGACGGCAGCCGGGAGGTTTACCGGCACTGGTTACCTGTGGTGGGCTGAGGAGCGCTGCTGCTGTTAGAGGCGGTCGTGACAACAGGGGTAGAAGGGGTTGTAAGGGGTTTGGCAGTAGTCAAAGCCTTGGGTGTTGTAGGAGGAGGAGGAGGAGAGGGAACTGGACAGAGAGCCAACACCAAGACAGGTGGTAATGGGGAAAAGCAAGAGACACCAACCAAACATCAATGTTATGCACAGAAACAACAAAACACCCCCTCAGGTGAAATAATGTTACATGTCTCTTGGACACAAACAAAGAAGACAGAGCAAATGGTCCAAAACACTGAAACTGACACCTTTGTTAGAGCAGAACTAGATCAAGCAGAATCTGCAAAAAATTGTACTCATAAATTTTTTTTCCACATGTATGAAGCTGCTGATTCTCTTGGAGCCTAAATGAATTGTTAATAAGAAACGAATTGAGTACGCGCTTTCATATTCAGAGCCACTATGCTGTTAGACTTACCTGTGCAGGTAGTGTTGGAGCAGGTAGGGTCTTCTGACAGAACAGTTGCATTGCGACAGCCAACATATGCTGAAACAAACAAAAGCTTTATGAATTAAAGAGGATGATGAATTGATGCCACATGATATTGTGATGGTGATGAAGTATTGGCCGGACTACTGACGAGGCGTTTCAGACTTTTTACATATAAAACTAAAATAGAATCATTAGCTCCTTTAAATGTGTGATTTATTCTTTAAAGAGCAAAAACTGTTTACTAAATTCATTTAAATTCAACCGTAACCCTGGTAATCTGATGGTGATCCCACTCAAGTGTCACAACGCTCATTATACGGCTCACAACACAGAACTGTGCTTCTACAAAACACTATGTTATGTCCACTCCAGGAAGGTCAGAGCCGTCACTCACAAAGGTCCACATCCTGCAGCTGAGAGGACGACATCCCATCCATCCTGCTGCCCCATCATTACACTTGATTAGTTTAAGTTGGACACGTTTGGGTTTTTATCTCATATGAAAAGAAAGATCATAACTCTACAAACAGGGCGAATACAAAGAAAAGACCAGTGGTGGGATTTCAGATCATTTCAATATAAAAGTAATCAATTACAAGTAAAAACAGAGGATTTAAAAGATTACCAAAATAAAAGTACAGAAAAATGATCAGCAAAATGTACTTAAAGTTATTTGTCATGCAACAGAGTGTCGTCTGTCGTATTACTTTTTGTTTAATGTATAAACAAGGTGATTTAATATTGCAGCTGGCTGAGGTTAATTTAATTTTAACTTCTTTATACATTGTCAGGAAATGTAATTGATTAAATGTATTTTATAATAAATACATTAAATATATTTTGTGTTAACCTGCAAAATAATGTTAAATAAGTGTAAAAGTAGCATAAAATTGAAATACTCCATCAAATACTGAATTATTGAACTGCATTCAAGTACTCCTCTTGAGGATAATGTAAGAGAATACATTACACCACTGCATTTTCCTGCTCTGCTGAGTCATAGTTTGATCCTCTAGATGTATGCTGTTTTATTTTATAATCTGTTTACTAATTAACCACAACAGGAATGGACTTTGCCCTGCGATGGAGTCTTGCCAGTCCCAAATACACCAACAGAGGACATCAAGATACAGACACGGCAATGAATTCATCTAAAAAAACATTTATGAAATCAACAGACTTATTAATTAACAATAGTGAGATTTAATTGCCAACTAGTTGTCAGTTTTTTTTCCAATGGAACAACTCGGCCTGTGCGACAGTGTGGAACTCATGATTCATGACACGTCAGCTCCTTGTGACTATAGATTCTTTTCACACCCAGTTATAAGATATTTACTTTACTGCCATTATGCAAACTTGACTCGACTGCCGCTAGATTTTATTGCAATCTTTACTACAGACATCCACACGGCTCAGATTCTTTGATCAGGTACATTTGTTTTAACTGGTTAAAGCGGAAACAAATGGTCGAGTTAAGGATTGACAGAAAATAAACTAGAAAAGAGATTTCAGGGTTTGATGCTTTTCTTGAACGTGAATGTCTTTGGGTTGAAGGACATTTTTATTTGAAAAGTAATTTGCCTTTAACACATCTCTTCTTCTGAAGACAAAGGCATGACTTAATACTACTAAAAACCTCACTTAGTCCAGGACTTAAAAAATCATCAGAATCCAGTTTTGAAGTTTCTGGACATGGACGCAGCAACGAGAAGCCGTTAAACTCATCTTTGCCTTCACTTGTCTCAGACCTCTCTGGAATGTTGTTATGCAGGTCTTGAACCTAAAAGTGAAAAGCCCATTTCTCAAAAATAATGGTTGAATCTGGCGACAGAGGAGGAGGCCATTGACATTTTCTTTGTGTTGATTTCCAAATCTCTAAGAGCATACGGGGGCATTATCATCTGAAACACATCATCAAGGGAGCAGAGTCCACTCAGTGTGGTGCTCCTGGTGCTGCAAAAGGCATCCTCTTCCTGTTGTATGAGAATACACACCACACCTAATGTCTCCCACCAGATGGCCACTCATAAATTGCAGACACACCGACTTCGACATCAACTTCGGGTGCAGATGACAAAACAACAAATCAAAAGGCCAAATTATTAGTATGTGGAACTCATCATCTCACCATTTTTAAGGTGTTTGTTGGCTACTACCACTGTCACTGGGAATCCCTGCCTAATGATCTGAGGCTCTTTTTAATCACTTCCTAAAATATATCTTCAAAATTATGTATTTAATTAATTCTAGCATGCCATTTTATTACCTATTTTACATGAGTTTTCACTATTTTCCATTTAGCAGGAAGGGAAATCAGCACCAATGGCCTCAGACTTTTTTAAACTCAGGAAGGGAAACCTTTTGTCTCGTTCTGTGATTTGGCTCCTTCGAGGAAAAAGTAATTCTGAAAGTGTTGCCTTTCTGACCTATATAAATACAACCTCTCTTTCTGACATTTACGTACTGTATGTTCAAACTGTGAGGAGGGTTTGTTTCCACTCTCCAATGGGTCAGAGGTCTGTTATCTTGCAGGCAGCTGTGAAAGGTAGGACCGGCTCTCACCCTTTTCCAAGCTGGTGACATCCTCATCACCACGAGGCATGTCAACGGCTTCAAGTCGGAGGTGTGAGTGAACGCCTGAAGGGCCAGAAAACCACCTCAGGGCTCCACAAGCTTTGTCACAAAACACAGTGCGTCCAGTACAAACGTGTGTGTACACGTGTCAAGTTTGTCGAGTATCTAAGCAATGGGCTGCGACGCAACACGCTTGTTTACACAAAGGTCCTAAACCAAAGATAAATCTGGTAATGACAATGTTGTAGGCGTTAGCCGGCAGCGGCCGTGTGGTTACGCTGTGCTTCTGCAAGGACCATCTCAACTTGCCACAGCCGACTGTTCCAGTTTGAGCAGAGTTCATATCGAATAGGTGATCCATTCTTGAGCTTGTGAAAGTCTGTAGTCTTACATTTGTGTGTGTGGTGAAATCAGCACTGCGACTGCCTGTATCCTGTGTGGTTAGGGTGGTGTGACTTGTTTGTACTGGTGTGTAATTGCACTGAGAGTCTTTGGGAAGCCAGCAGTAGAGACAACAAACTTTCCAACATGAACACGCTTAGAAAATGGCTAAACGAGGGTTTAGTGAAACTTAAAAAAGATCAAATTCAAAAAAACTGCTCATCAAATCTTTTAAAGAAAGAAATGTATGTAGAGAATATACGAATTAAAAGATATCAAATTATAATAATCTCAGTAAGAGATTGATATTTTAGTTTTTAATTTACATTTTTGTTTCTGTGGCTGTGGGATTTAATTTCCTCCTGAAGTACATTGACCTTAACCATTCCATCCCCCTTGGCTCAGAGATGATGTAAATAATTGTCATCTTGCCTGTCCTGTTCAACCACTTAATGAATCATTAAGTGGTGCATCATCATAGGACCGTTCAAAATTCAGAGACAAAGCAGGAGGGAGGGTGGGGTCACCAAATCTCAACTCGGCCTTGTCCATAGGGAATCAAAGCTTTTCAGTGGTGAAGTTGTCAAACATGTCAACTCCGATGAGAGGTAAAATAACTGGTGCTTGAGTTTTAAACTGATCCAGGAAGTGATTTTGGATTACTCAACTTAACAGTTAAGACAACACAAGTTACACAATCTTTACCTCTTCAGGCTTAATGACAACTAAGCCCAACCTTGTCTTTAACTGCACCCGAGGCCTAAATTATGAGAATAACAAGGCATGTGTAACTAATCCGCTTTTCTATCTGCTCACTGTTTCCTCTCCTGCCCCCTGTTCCCCAGCGTGAGGATATTGACGGCTTCCTGCCACACATCCCCTCGCTTCCTCTCCTGCTCATCTTCTTCACAATCACACGAGACCTGAGCGCGTCTCATACTGAACTGAGACAAACCGGCCAGATATATTCTGTCAAACCAACGATCACACAGGTTTATCACTCAATTGTATTAATACCTGCTGAGTGAACTTGGGTGACAAAGCTGAGATTTATCTGAAGTGAACTTGTGACAGACCTGCAGATAAGACAGTGTTGACTCATCTGTTTATTATTATTATTTCCAGTCACTGAGAACAACACTATAACAAACAGCTCCTCTCATGCAGCGCATAGAGAGCAGTTGACACAGGAAACAACCCGTGGTACAGAATTGATATAGCAACATCTTTTAAGAATATATGCATATTTCTGATCACAAACAGCACACTGCAAATTAATGAAAAATACCACGGCAGCATATTTCTCAATGTGCCATCTGTAGTAATGTCTGAGAGCTTTCTCATATTCAGAGAACTTGTGTTTAGACTGATATTTCCATTAACATAATGAAATTACAGAATGGCCACACAGAGACATAAGCAAAGGGCAGGAAAAAAAACACAATCAGACATAAGTGAGACTTTAATGTCCAAAAGATATGACCAACTAGCTTTCGGTCATCTGCATTATAACAAATTATTTACTCTGGTGAGAAAAAGTGTTGAGTGGATGCAATCTCCCAACCTACACAACTCACCCTACAAGTCATTGCATTTTGTTGAAATATTGGAAAACACTGACTGATACTTCAAACCATTAAGAAGAGCACGGACAAAACAACGAGTTCCTCATGAGAAACCATCCCCACTGTTTATTGTGTGTTATTTGGATCTGAATCAAATTGCAAACACTCATAAGCACCGCTTTGTTTCATCAAGATCCAAGAATTATTTCCTGGGAAATCTGTGAAAATGTCAAAAACACACTGGCTCGCAATGTTAAAGAAAGAGATAAGAAAATGGATCCAGACCTATATTAACTAGACATGACCCACCCCTCTACAAAATCTCATGGAAATCCATTGAGGTTTGATTTTGCGTAATCCTCCTAACTAATAAACCAAGGCTGGGGAAAACTTCACATCCTTGGCGGAGATAATAATCTACTCCCACACCAGCATGTCCAGATCCACAGAGCCTGTCCGCGTTGCCAGACAACTCCGGCACAGCTGCGTCTTTCAGGATTTATAGGAAATTTAGATCATCTAAAAGTCAGCATCCACTGCCATACATTCCCTCCATACCCAAGAATCATGTCTCCAATCAGCTCAGCTGTCTGGACAATTCCCTGGCACACAAAGAGCAACCTGTGCCTCTCCGTCCACAACCTGCTGCCACACATTTAACACACATACTCACGTGTTGTGCAGTTGACCCACAGACAGTCTGCAGTGGCTGTGCACGTAGCACATGTCAGGCCGGTACATTTATCTGCAAAGAGGACACATGTATTAGATTTATGTAGAGTTGGAAAAAGGGACTTTACTTCCTGCATGTGGTAGAAAACGAAAGTAGATGTCCAGAGGCTGCTGTGGAGTCGTGTTGCAAAGGAAATGAGCTGATGACTAACAAAGTGAAATCTTCCATCAAACCACATAAGATAATAAAGAGTCATGGATTTTAAAGTGAGGCACAAACATAGGCTGTATAGAGGGCACAACAATGGGTGAGGCGTGTGTCATGAAGAGACTGTTACATAACAAGTTGATCTGGTCTGTGTGACCTGATCTACTGGATCTCACACACACACACACACACACACACACACACACACACACACACACACACACACACAATGTGAGTTTAAGTCCCTCTTCTGTACATGCTAGGTGGCTAATGCATTAGCTGGTCCTCACAACTTGAGGTCCAGCGTGAAAACAAATCTGTCAAGTTGCTCAAACGAACATGTTATTGATTGTGAAGCTAAAACAAAAAGGGAGGGAGACGACAACTGTCCAACAACGAAGCGACACGTCTAATTGTCTCTGCCGTGGATGAAAATGGAGGCACACGCCACAGGGAAGTTACCACCGCTGCAGTCGGCGGTGTCTTCCCCGAGCTGTGGGGGGGGGAGACACCGCCGGGGGCTGCGGCTAGCCGCTAGCTCGGCGCCGAGAGAGGGGTCGCAAACTTACCGGAGTCCGCATCGGCTGATGCGACAGCGAGAGCCACGACTGCGGCGAAAACCACCAGCTTCACGTACATGACTGCGGACAGATCGCTGCTCTGCCTGGAAACGTGTGTGTCCGGGTGGGGAAACGTCGAGAGCGACACCGGGGGACAGGTGGAGGTGCTTCAGCCTCGTCGTCAGGGTCCGCTCGCTGCTGCTGCTGCTGCTGCTGGATGTGTTGATGGTGGTGGTGAGATCTCCACTTCCTACTTGACAGGTCATGTGGCACTTTCTCAAGGGGAGGAGGAGGAGGAGGAGGACGACGTGGGGAGGACGTGGGCCACGAACACGTCGAAAGAAAAGAAAGAATGAAAGAAGAGGATGTTTGTTGGTTGATTCTGCACAATCATCCTCATCAGGACTTTGCTTTGACTTCCGTTCATCAACCTTATCAGCTTCAACCATGACCAATTCATTTCTAACCTTCATTCTAATGACAAATATTCTTGAACTTCTCAGTGGAGACACACATCGGTCTCTTACTCAAAACATAACTACCACAATTAAATAAACCAAATTATATGATATTAAAAATAAACTTTATTTGTAGAGCAGCTCAAAGTCCTTTACATGTGATACAGATGAAAATAGCAACACGTTCAAATGACATTTAAAACAAGAGAACACATTTTAAGATATTTTAAAAAAATAAATAAGAAAGGAAAAAAGAGAATTAGGACTTTGCATTGACTTCCATTCGTTGGGTACAGCCTAACCAAAACTTTATCCCTACTGTATATAACCTTAACCTAACCACAATTCACATCTTACCCCTCACCTTAACCTAAACATGTCTTCAGCTAATTGTTATTGAAGTTAATTTAATTAAGTTAAGTAAGATTTTTATTTTTATTATTATCATCTATTTTCTGTATGGAAGAATTTTTGCTTTTACTAAATATGAACAGCAGGGGACAGCAGTGTCAACTAAATGTCTAACCTTATCTTAATTCATGTTATTAAATGTAACTTTTAAAAATGCAAATACAACTTTATACAGGTGTAATAATGTCTATCACATCAGCAGATTTATTTAGGACCACGTAAGAAAGCTAGAAGACAAGGACACAAAACTTACTAAATGAGAAACAGTGACAATTTACACTTATATAAAAAGGTTTTGTAGTAAAGCAAAAATACTCTGTTTGTGTTAATTACATATATCTTACGGTTTATTTTACTGCTCCAACTTCAACTTCATTCTTAGAGTTTTAATACTCCACAATCTGTAACTTTACATTCATACTTAGGTCTTTCATTGCAAGTCTGGACCTCCTCCAATCTCTTGAGGACATCAACACCCTCCACCGCTCGTCTAGGATGAAAACAATGACATCAAGTAGAATTTTAAGATAAGATTATACAGAATAGGCAAATAACTATGTGTGTCATACAAACCCAAAGGCGACATAGGTCCTGTCCATCCAAGTTGTTGGCTGCAGCGTGATGTAAAACTGGGATCCGTTGCTGTGGGGACCCTTATTGGCCATCCCGAGCGTGCCTCGCCTCGAGTGAGAAACAGCAAAACTTTCATCTAAAAGGAGAAAACCCGCAGGTGAACTTATAATTAAATCCATAAATCCTCATATGCACAGTTTGTTCTCATGGAAATACTGTAGCTGTAAATTGTTAAAACGTTTTTACCTTCGAAAGTTGGTCCATAGATTGACTCACCTCCATTGCCTTTCCTTTCTGGAGAAATATCTACAACAGTGAAAGATACAGTTGTTTTTTTCAGTATCACAGTGGTCTTGTGGCACGATGATATTGCAAAATAGCCTTGACACGCTTAATCTCACTTCAGTGATGTAGTTTGATCATTTCAGATGCTTTTATAATATAGACAAGTGTCGGTCAGCGCTTGTATTACACTATAAACCCGTACAATACCTCCACCTTGCACCCAGCCGCTGGGCACTACCCGGTGGAACAGAGAGCCCTTGTAGCAGAGTGGGAAGCCGCTCTGTGACCGTCCCCTCTCCCCTGTGCACAGCTCCTCAAAGTTTCTTGAAGTCTTTGGACAAATGTCTGAGAACAGCTGAGGAGGAGGAGGAGGAGGAGGAGGACAATGTGTCTTGAGAACCTCAGTCACTTCTAAACATAAAGGCTGTTACAGAGGTGACGTAACACTGGTGGTAAACAATGTTAAAACACATGTGGATCCAGCACTTGTGTGTTTTCTCACCTCAAACACCAACCTCCCGGCTGCTTCTCCTGCTATCTCAATGTCCATGAAGACAAACTGATGCTATAACAAAAGCACATCGACATTTCTTTTTACCTGTGACAGTCACCGATGATCGACTGGAGCAATTCAACCCCCACATGTCCATTATGTACCCACATACAGTGTTATTCATGTGACTGTGGTGTTCACTTGCCCCACTGTTCTGGAGATGTTTGGTGTAGTAGTCCTCAGCAAGAGCCTCATAGAAAGCCTGTGGCCGAGTGACAGTAAAATCCCAGTGGTTCTTTGCCCAGCCAGCGAAATCCTTCTCATCACCGAGGAGACGGCCGTTCAGGAAGCACATCAGGCTGCTGGAGTACTGCCACACTTCACCACGCAGCTCCTGAGTGTTGTGAATCAGCATTTCAGAATAACCATGACGTCACACTATACCAGTATATTGTTGCGTGGGTGGGTTTAGATCTATAGTCGAGCATCGAGGAGCTGCAGTTCACACAGTCACCTACATTGTTTATAACAGTAATATCCTCACTCATTCCAGATGAAGTCAATTCGTGTTGAGTAATGGCTGAATGCAACAAAGTAAGGCCTTTGCTGTTTGTAATTTTGATGGAAAAGTCCAATGTGAAAAAGGCCTATAGAAATACAATTTTTTTAATTGTTATTAATAGTGTTGAGTATTTAAATCTCACTACAATATTAGTTTTGTTGAATTGTTGCTCCTGATGTAGATATAAAGTATTTAAATATAAAGAGATCAGGGTAAAGAAAACCACAATATGCACAATTTATATTATATACATTCATATTCATTCTCTGCCCATTGATCCCTGTCACCTGAAATCTTACACACTGGACCTTTAGTGAATGATTTGAAAGTAGAACTCTATAACCAAATAAAACACACACGTGTTACTCACCCTTTTCCTCTCGCACAGGTATGTGTCCCAGTCTAACTCAAACAGAGCTTGAATGTTTGGCTGCAGAAAAGCTTCCGGAATCTTCTGCTGGAGTCCCTGTTGCACACAGAGTTGTTGTTAGTGGTCAAGTGAAAAACTTCAGGTCAGAGAGAAGCTGGACAAATCAAACAGTTTAACCTCGGCGATACTTTTGGCTTCGTGGAAGTGGCTGTCTTTAATCAAGCCGATGATCTCTACGTGTGATTTTGACGCCATGTTTGGAGAAAAACACTCAAAGAGCAAAACTCTGTGGACAGGAGCCTCGTATCTATGGCAACAAGCCTCAGGAGGCGCTTTAATATGACGTGGGGGTTGCAAATATCCGCTCTCGTTCCATTTAGTTAAACTAGCACCTTTATCCCCCCTTGTTTTCCAGTGAGTGCGTCGTTTTTAATTAATCAGCACTGTTTTCTTCTGTACATGTTTTACTGAGTCACCGTTTTATAGCTATTGTTTTAGTGTAGCTCTCAGAGCCAGTGTTACGGTTGGTACAGGAACAAGGCGGCTGAGCTCATCGAAGCGGGACGCGGCCCAGCGGCGCCACGGTTTGAAAGCTCCGGCTCGTTGTTCTCTGTTGTGTCGCGTCGACGGGTTGTTTACACTCGGCTCTCCGGTGAATCGCTTCACAAACACGAGTTCCGGTGTCGTTATGGGGGTTCACGGCCTGTGGTCCATCGTGGAGCCGGTTCACGAGTCCGTGCCTCTGTACAGTTTGAGCGGAAAGACGCTGGCTGTGGATCTGAGCCTGTGGGTGTGCGAGGCCCAGCACGTCCAGGCCATGATGGGGAGGGTCACCAAGCCCCATCTGAGGTGACCCCCCCATGTTTCACACTCTGCAGCTTCATCTCCACTGTTCCAGCTCCACGTCTGATCCGCCGCCTTGTCTTTGTGTCTCCTCCAGGAACCTGTTTTTCAGAGTGTCCTCTCTCACGCTGATGGGGGTGAAGCTCGTCTTCGTCATGGAGGGAGAAGCCCCCAAGCTCAAAGCAGAAACCATGAGCAAGAGGACGGACACGAGATTCGGCGGATTGAAGAAGACCTCTGCCCCCAAGTCTGCAGCCAACACCAGCAGGGGGCGCTTCAATGCTGTGCTCAGAGAGGTCGGTGGCTCCCTCTCTCTCCTGCAACCTCCAAATGTTAAAGGGAAAGTTCACCCAACAATTAAAATCCACTCATTATCTCCTCACCACTATGCTGGTGGAGGGGTGGGTGAACAGTTTGAGTCCACAAAACACTTCTGGAGTCTCGATGGTAAACAGCGTTGCAGCTAAATCCAATAAAATTGAAATAAATGGTGATCAATTCTTCAGATGTCAAAAACAACAGAAGACAAACATGAAATGCCTCCACACTCCTGTGCTGTCATCCATTGAAGAAGTGCTCACCATTGGATTTGTATTGCAACGCTGTTTACCCATGAATTCTCATTTCCCTTTAAGTCATAATCAAGTCATGTTGTTAGTAACTCTCTCTCTTGTCTGATCCTTGCTTCTGCAGTGTGCGGCGATGTTGGACTACCTGGGCGTGCCCTGGGTGACAGCTGCTGGAGAGGCCGAGGCCATGTGTGCTTCCCTGGACTCGCAGGGCCTGGTGGATGGCTGCATCACCAACGACGGAGATGCATTCCTGTATGGAGCCCGGACCGTCTACAGGAACTTCAATATGAACACTAAAGTATGTTCGTTAAAGTTGATCTCAGTCATGAACAGTGACAACTAATGAATCAATTTCAGATTTTGTAATTGGTATTTAATTATACTATTTACTGAGTGAACACCCAAACCAAATATTAGCTGATTAAAAACAACATTTATGAATAGGTGGTTGATTTACTCTCCTCTGTATATTTTTTTTGATTTTTTTGTTCAGATGATGAGTTTTTAATAACAGTGGTCCTGATTTTTCACCCATCTCTGAAACTATCCGTGTCCGTACACAGTATTTACTCACGTTTTCCTCCAGGACCCTCAGGTGGACTGTTACCGGACCTCTCTTATGCAAACAGAGTTACAACTGTCCAGAGAGAACCTCGTTGGTCTGGCCATCCTCCTCGGATGTGATTATATTCCTAAGGTATGGACGACCCTTTGAAGGTTGCAATTCACTGACACGAAGGACCAATGTTAACATATCTTATTTTCTTGCTTCCTCAAAGGGCGTACCAGGTGTGGGCAAAGAGCAAGCTCTTAAACTTATCCAGACACTGAAAGGACAAACACTTCTGCAGAGGCAAGAGACAAACATCCACTCATCACTTCTTCTCCTGTTTCTTGGACATAACGAGTTTTGGTTTTTCATTGAACCTGTCACTTCTTTCAGATTCATCCAGTGGAAGGAGGATAATACCGGTGTGTCTGAGGCAGTTGTGAAAAAAGTTCCTCACTGCCTCGTATGTCGACATCCTGGTGAGTGGCGCCCTGTATCTGAACTTGATAAGAGGCTGTACCCAATATGCTCGTGTCCAACTTCTCACACTAGCTGATTGTAAAGCTATTTAACCTATCACGGTAAAACGTACACGTATGTGAGAGATGTCTGAACACACCTCTGATATTACACCCACGTTGTAGTCGTATGTTAAGTATTTGTTTTTCTCTCCTCTTTCTTTGTCTTGCTACTCCTGGAAAATGTTTATTCTGGTTCGTCTTCTTTCATTTTCAGGCTCAGCGAAGGCACACGAGCGTGGCGGCTGTGTGCTTTGCGACAGTAAACGTTTTTGCCAACCTCAGGATTTTGATTACCAGTGTCCCTGTGACTGGCACCACTACGAGCTGACCCGTCAGGCTTTTTCTTTGGAGGCAAATATCAGGAAGTATGTGACTCTGAAATTACATAGTTAACAAACAGTCATTGGTTCAAAACTTGATTATTTAGAGTTTGAACATTTATTTGGGCACAAAACATCTCAAGACATCAACACTGACAATCTCTTATACATTTTTACTGTTTGCTTAATCAAATTATTGAGAAAATAATTCATAAACTAATCAAAGATGACAATAATCATGAGTATTCTATTAAACTGCTTTGTTTCTCTTTAAGGAAAACACTGGCAAGTCAACAGTTCCCTTTCACAGAGGTACAGCTGTTTTCATCTGCTCTTGCTCATAAGTTATTGTTTCATATATAATATAATTATTAATGTATGTGTTTATTTCATTTTTCAGATCATTCAGGAGTTTCTGATTTCCAAAGATAAGCCTGTGTTTAATTTCAAAAGGAGACAGCCAAATCTACTGTCAATGCAGGTAATTGGTTTGTTGTTGATTACTTGTTCAGTCAGTTGTTAAGATGTCTTTTAATGAGTTGCATGTAAAATAATTTGTTTTCCAGAAATTTGCCTATGACAAGATGGAGTGGCCAAAGCACTACACCAGTGAAAAGGTTTTAGTCCTGATGACCTACACAGAGTTGATGAACAGAAAATATGGAAGAGGAATGTCCTCACAAATCAAGCCGCTCAGGTAGTCAGACAAATTCAGTCTTCACCACAAAAAGTAAATATTTTGTGACGTACTGTAATACAGGATTGATTACATACTTTTCTCTTAAAGAATATGGAAACCAAGAGTGAGGAATGCCATCGCTTGCTTCGAAGTTATCTGGAGCACACCAGGTAGGTTTGACTCTTGTTTAACCAGTTTTCCTCCCCTCGTAACGTAAGGATGAGAGGAAGGAACTACATCTGACAAAACTTCCTCTGACTTGAGTGACAGGACTGCTGTGTTTAAACGGAGGCTGGGGTGCGAGGTGTTTGTCACCGGGTTGTCTGTTAGTGCCTGGCTGTGAGGTAGGGCTCAGAGGTGGCAGATCAGTCACAACAGCCACTAGGTGCTAAAGTGGCTTCCTCCCCAGGCTGGGAAATCTGTCGTATCAAAGTCCACCTCACTAACAAGCCTGTCTGACGTGATTGGCCTGAGAAAATCTCAATCAGCAAATAACTAACGTGGTCCCTCGTCTCTTACTTTACATCACGGGAAAAAACAAATACAGGGTGGATAATGGGCATATATCTGATAATTACTCATGTCACACACGTCCCTGGTTATTAATGCATGCTTTTGCAATGGAAGCATAGTTTTTCTTAAGTGCCTTTATCCAAAATTGCTTCACAGTAAACTTTGCTCCCCTGGTTAAAGTATCCTTGACTGTCCCGTGTCTAGATTTAGACAGATATTTGGTTGTTTGGTGGAAATTGATTGATTTATCATAAATATGTATGTTTAACTGCCAAATTCCCAAACAGTATATCACCTTAATTAACCCATTATGTATCTTCTGAATGTGCATGATTTGTGAAGTCAGTTGTTGCAAACATTTTGATAACATTTAAAATATATTATATGTTTCTGTATCAAAAATATATATTTGCACATCAACATTTCCGAGTTGTCAAATTGTGCATTCATTTCTTTGTTTTCTACTGTGTTTTGACGTGGTGTTTATGTTTATACTTAGTCCTGTATCTTTCTGTACTTGCTTTACTGTAACAGCAAAAGTCTGTGTTTCTTAAATTTCTCTCCGCCGCAATAAAGACAAAAAGAGGAGCAGCTATCGACTGTGAGCAAATGTGACCTGACCTTGAAGTTTTTTCTTTCTTTTTGCAGAGCACTACGTGTTTCCTGAGGATCGGCCTGCAGAGGATCAACAAGAAGTGAGGACAGTAGAGGAAGAATCTCTCTTTCGTGTGGCCTTCCCAGAGGTGGTGGAGAGCTACCTGAGAGAACAAGCTCTGGCTGAAGAAAACAAGACAAAAAGTGAGACGATACTTTATAATATTCATGTCAATAGATAAAGGTAAATTTTTAGTTTTTATGAGTACTTTGCATCTTAGTCTTGGAAGGTCGACCTTATCTGACAGTAAATGTAAATAATTTGTTCACGTGCCATCACATGGCAGACGTTAACAGGCTAGCAGACTTCCCACACTGGGCTCACACGGGTGTTCTGATCAAAGCCACGTGGAGCGTTGGCTTGTTTTTCAAAGCTGTCTATTACAGCTGCTCTGACACCTGAACTTATAGAGTTTGGCAGCTCAGCTTGTTCACAGCAAAGGCTTTGATGCAGCCGAGAGGCGTCTGTCTCACAGGCCTAGCTGTCACTTTCTGCAGGTTGTGCTCTGCTCTGCCTGGTTGTCACTGCTGTAGAGCTCCACGCTCTAATACGTAGTTTTGTAGAAGTGGCCACTGAGATTGACAATAGTACAATTCAAAAGATAACGTGTATAATGTTAAACTATTGCATTACTGGCTATTAAATAAGTTTAGGTTGGAGTTGAAACTGGTAGAAACACTGACAGTTATATCTTGTCTTGTCTTGACTTTCCCTTTCAATTTCCTTCACAGAAAAGAAACCAAAGAGTAAAAAAGAGAAGCCATCTGACGTCTCTGATGGTATCACTGACCTCTTGGCTCAGATGAGCCTTCAGAGTTCTTCCACTCAACCACAAATGCTGCTTCCCACCATTTCAAACACAGAAAAAACGGAAGTGGTGGATTTGTGCTCTCCGGTGAACCATACGCAGCATAGAAAAGCAAAAGAAGACCACATCAGAGTGGGCGACTGCCCCAACACTCCTCTGTCTCTTCCAGAATCAGAGGCTGTGGCTTCACCGTCTGTCTCTTCCGTTATTGATGCTCTACACCTGAGTGATATTGACTGGGAGGCTCCGTCCTTCACATCCTCTCCACCTCCACAAGTGGTTAAAAACCACACCACTGAGCCCAGGATACATAAATCCATGGACGAGGCCGTTGAGGAAACAGAGGTCACACACACCAAGCAGGAAACCTCAAGTGATGTCAGACAAGCAGATTCAAGATCTGCTCCAGAGCTGTGTTCCACAGAGTGTCCACTGAGGGACAGGGTGCTCATGAGGAATGCAGCCAAAGCTATAAACCAGCAGGTACACGACGATGCAGTCTTAAAAAAACTAAATCATGAGTCGGCTTCTGTCGAACACATTGCTCCTCACAACACCAACTCAAAACCAAACCGACAAAACTCCAGTAAAGCTGGTGGTGACGGTAAATTGACAGAAAAGGAATGTGATGTCAGTAACAAAGAACCACTCAGTAATGGAAGTCAGCGTGTACAGACGAAAGCAGAAAGAGAAACTTGTGCTTTCAATCTGGCAGCACAAGATCAACGTAAGGTGAAGGACAAACATAATCGTTCCCAAAGGCCTCCCCAGAAATATAAATTTGTCAGGTCGGCCCTTTCAACTTCCTCCGCCCCACCACAGAGGCTCCACTCTGACCCAGGTCAACGAGACAAAGACAGGGACGTGCCACAGACCACCAAGAAGAGTGTTTGTTTGAGCGTGTGCTCATCCAGCGAGGACAGCGACACAGAGAACCTCCAGATTGGACCTCTGAGCAAACCTCAGATGAAACCCATAAACAAGAGAAAAGATGGTGGCCTTACAGGCATCTCTTTGAAACCACTTTCTGGACCCAACACAACCAAACAAACAGTGAAACCGGCTCATTGCCATCAGCTACCAGGACCAAAATCTCAGAGACACACTACAGGTGTCGATATAAACACAACACCTGTATCAATGAAAAGCAAATGTCAGGATGTGACTGTGGATGTGCTGCCTCTGAGTCCGGCTTCACCGGTCACTGTGTTGGACGATTCAGTGGTTTGTAGTGACAGTCCACTGCCACTGGCCGAGAGGCTGAGACTGAAGTTCCTGAAGTGAGAAGCGTGGGTACAGGACAAGGGACAAGGACATTTAAGTTATGTTAAATGTGTTTTTTTTTATGATTTGGTAAACAATTTATCAAAATAATAAAATAAATTTAAGGTCCACTCACTAGCTTTTTACAGTTGAGCTGCAACAATTATTCAGTGAGATTCATGGATCTTGATTTAAAAAATCAGGCATGTTTGGGAAGACTTATGTTTATTTTGAATCTGGAAAATCAGGGTAAAAATCGGGATCTAGTGGATTTAAATGTGGTTTTACTCCTGCACTTATGATAGACATTATTTCATTAATTGTTAATGGAGTGTAATAAGATGTTTGTTGGATTATGTTTTGAGATTGAAAACCTTGACTGGTTACATGGCCTCTGCAGAAAACATGAAAATGTTCAAACAAACAAATTCTTTAAGTTTTGTTGCAGCAAAGTTAGTCTCACCATGTTGCCTGTTTCTCTAACAGGTAAATGTTTGCAGATTAGCACAGTTTTAGGTATTAAATACCATATAATGACACCACATGTGCTTGTTTTCTCCCACTGTTCTTTTGACGAGCGCGTAGGACACTGAGCCATTGGTTTTACAACCCGCTAGTGTTGCTCCCCTTGATCGTGAGTGAGGCCTTACTCACCTTTTCAGACATGAAAGGTCTGGCAGGAGCTTGGTGACAGCTGCCCAAATAACAACCCAGCCCCAGGACCGGCTCTTGAATCTTATTTTTATGTAAATCTAACAGTTTGTCCAGATAAATAAACCTGCATTTTCAACCTTGACGAAGATTTTAGGATTTTAACACACCTAAAACAGGTAAAACTGCATCGGAAAAAAGATAAGTACCTTTATTGATCTAACATTGGGTAAATTCACTTGTTGCAGGAGCAGACAGTCAAAAAGAAGCAGGAAAAATGGCAAGTTAAAGTGCAAAATATTATAAAAATATATTCATATCCATAATATAAAGTTTCCATTACAGATAGACTCTTGTGCAGAGGAAAAGTCACATTATTTCACATTGAAAGTGGCCAAATGTGTGCTTATTTAAATGGAAACAGACTTTTAAGATTCAGTTCAAGGACAGTTAGAAATTATTTGTCTCTGTATTAATACACCATATATTCTACAGACATGCAGGGCAATAACTATTTCTGACACTGAACCTCCAGTTGCTCTAATATTCTGCATTTCTTCTATAAAAAATGTTTCTGAAAGGCTTTTAATTGGTTTCAAATCGTTTTGGCTGATGTGTGTTGGCACATAAAACCTCCAGACTGAAGACACACGCAGGCCTGACTTGTCGGAGACGTGTGAAGGTCTCAGGTGAAAGTGCAGCCTCCCATTTCTTCATTAGACACATCACATCAAAGTGATAATTGTCGCCGTGCAGACTTTAAAGAGTAATTTCCCACCAAAGGAATCTAATTATTTTTCTTTCTATCACATTATCCGTCTATTTAGCCTTATTCACACCCCAGTGATAACGAAAGACGTCCTTCGGGAAGGTTGCATTTTGTCACTTGGGGTCTTCTTTGAACTTTTCTTTCCCCCTTTGCTTGAGCTGTGAACCCATAAACCTCCGGAGATCTGGGTCCGTATAAGAACGCTTTGGCAAAATCCAGTTCACAGACGCCTGTATGCCAGAGAGACGCGTTGGATATTTCTAACATGGACATGGAGGCGGTTACAGCTAAGATTCTGTCCGAGTGGAAGAGCTGTGAGGGCACTTTTGGGGAAGGGGACTCGCTCCAGTCCTCCTCTCCGGAGTCCTCGATGGACTCCATGTGTTCCTCGCCGGAGATGTGCTACTCCAGCGGGCATCACCGGGACAACAAGGATTTCTCTTTCGGCTTCGGGGGACTCGGTGCGGTTCCGGCGACGCAGCGGCAGGGCAAACCCAAGATGTCCACCAAAAGACGCATGAAGGCCAGCGAGAGGGAGAAGATGCGCATGAGGAGTCTCGCGGAGGCTCTGCACCAGCTCCGTGACTACCTGCCGCCTGACTACAGCAAGAGAGGGCAGCCTCTCACCAAGATACAGACCCTCAAATACACCATCGAGTACATCAACAAGCTCTCAGACATCCTCAGCCGCGCGTAACGGACGCGTCATGGACCACTTTTACGCACTAGGTTTATCCTCTCCTGGACATTTGGATGGATCGGTGGAGCTAGTTTTATATTTCCGATGAGCAGTGCCACATGTTTATGAAAACATAAATGTCATTGAATGTGTTTTATCGTCTTGTTTTTGCCCTTCACGTGATGTAAATATTGTTTATCGGGCACTTGGCGAGTATTTTTGTAAATGAAACTGCCTTTGTTGGAATTATGAATTCAGTGTTTGGACACAAAGCTGGGATGTATATGTTGATGGGTATGAAACACAGAAAAATGAAATAATCTCATGTTTGTGTTATAATGTAGAGAAACATCATATTTATTCAAACATACATTAGATGTGAAGTAGCTGTGTGATGTGAGGTGTTGTTGTGTATGTGAGAGATAGTAAATCATTTGTGCTGTTGTAAAATATTAAATATTCATTCCCACGCTTAAATCACATAATACTCGTTTCCAATGTTTCGTGTTTTTAAATGAATCCACGTGTTTTCTGCGGAAACATCTACAATAAATGTGCGTTTCGTGTTTATGAACCGTCTTCAGGCTGGAACACACGTCAAACACGTTCCTCCAATCAGACTGCGAGAATAGCAAACACAGCCTTGAGTGACAGCGACACGCAGCCAATCAGGCACCAGCATTCCTCCCCCCGGTGGGAGGCGACTTTGGAGATGATGTAGTTTCTCGCAGAGAAATCTCAACCTGGGATTAGTCTGCGCCCGACGCCGCCATTTCAAAGCTGAAGGGGCGACACCAGCTGTTGGCATTTTTCAACATCTGTTATTTTTCATTTTTTTTTCTTATTTATTTTTATTTTTATTAGCAAGTAGGACAATTACATTTGCGTAAAAATCCAATCTACCTCGCGTGCAACACCAATTGAAGTAAGTCAATTCTCTCTTTACGCGTTTTTCAAAAGCACGGGAACGCCCCTTTCATACCCAGCACTTAGCCACACACTTGTTATCAGGTTCATTATTTCCCAACAGTCAGAATGGAAGCGTCGTTACCAGTATTAGACACCACCCTGAACACTGTTTGTAATGGAGCAGCTGTTTGTAGACACAACACGGTGCGTCTGCGGTGTTAGTTCCAGGAATTAGACGTGGCCTCTTGCCTTCCAGCCAGCTGTGCTCATCCATGAGCTCCTTCGTGTCGGGCAGCAGTAAAGTAGCACTCTCGTAGATCTGAGGTGTGTTTGGTTTGGTTTAATGTCTGAGAGCTCACACGGATCAGGACATAAATGTTTTTCATTTCTTTAGTTTTTATCTGACAGGGACTCAGCTCATTGATCAGCAGCAAGATGACTGTAAATGATCCAGAGTTAGCTCAACAGGCTTTTAAAATGGCAACCTGAAATTAAAATACACTGACTCGTGATAGTCAACACACACAAGCACTGTTTACAGACAGGTACAATAAATAACATTAAGTAACAAGACGACAGATGAGACAAAGCACAGCAAGTAACAACCCTCAGTCAGTGGTCTAATGTGTTTATATCTGATTATCATAAGTCATTTATAAGGATCAGGTGTGTGTGTGTGTGTGTGTGTGTGTGTGTGTGTGTGTGTGTGTGTGTGTGTGTGTGTGTGTTCTGTGGTTGAGCTGCAGTCTGTAGTCATTGTCACATACATGCATAGACATATACATAGATGCCATGCATTTAAAAACCTTGAGCTCTGGTTACCTCCTTCCATTAGACAGCAATGTGAAGTATCTTGCTTCTAAATCCAGAGTATCAGATATAGTTCTAGATGACTTGAATGTATTGGTACTTACAGGATGTATTACAAATATTCTAAAAGCCTTTTATTATAACATTATAAAAATCATCAACATCACAAATCACAGCCTCCCCAAGTGGCCATAATTTAGGATGAACTGCCTGAATTACACGTCAAAGTGAATTCAGAACAAAAGGCATGAACATGGTCATGTGCATGCAGGAGTAGCTGCAGAACTTAAAACCAAACGATATATATTGGCATGCCAATGATAGTGCCTCTCTCAGACGTATCACAGTTTCTGTTTGCAGATATGGCCCAATATGAACATTTATATTTAACATAATAAACAATGCAGTGTTGATGCTCTATTTTTCCATCCATATTTTGTGCTTCCTTTTTATTTATAATAAAGTTCGTGGATAAACTCAAGGTAACGTTAAGCCTTTTGTTAATATAATGGGAAGAATTGCTTTTATGTCGTTATGGGCATCAGCCTGTTCACTGTGCATTGGTCTGTTCAACTTAAGACAGTGTTGCAAAGTTGTTGATGAAACTCACAGTGCAACACTTTCAGGCCCCTTTCTTCAAATATGTGAAGTGGCAGTTTCATGCTTGACGCCCAACCCTCATTCCACAGCTTTCTCACAAAACTCTCGTCTCTCCACTCTAGCTGTGGCTGATTTTGCTTTTTAGTGCTCAAGCCTTTAGGATTATGAACAATTTGCTGGCAGTCGGGTTTGACTCGCAGCCCTCCTTGCTTAACTTGCAAACTTGTCACCTGTTTCGCTGCGAGGTATTCACAGTATGGCACATTCAGTTGTGGAACAGTGCAACGTGGAAGTTTTATGTGTCCTAGATCTGCTGAGAGACCCGTACAACATCGAAAAATTATCGTAGAGAAGCAAGTGTCTGCTTTCAATGACACTTTTATGCAGTGTAGTATATTGCAGGGATTGAAACTTGATTGATTTTGGAATAAACTGGTTCATCTTGACATAATTACATCGCATTGTCTCTGCACATTTCTCAACTGCTACATATTCAAACTGCTAATCTCCTGCGTCACCACATTCCAAATGTGTTTTGTTCATGAAATCAGTTTGTGATGACTTTTGTGTGCTCTCCTCTGCCTCGTGGTCGAACAGGTTTTTTATTTGGAGATGGTCTTCGGCTCAGCACAGTTGTTAAGACTGGTTCTCTGATTCCTTTCTGTCAGCTCAAACATTGTTTTTCCGCATTACCAGATGCATTTTGTCAGGCTTGATTACCTTCCTGCTGCAGGCAATTCAGAATTGACCTCTGCATGAATTTGCCCTTTTTTTCTTTCTGCAGAGCTCGAGTAAGACATTTCGCAGAGTGTCCCTTTACATGCAGACGTCTTTTTCATGAGAAAGTCACATGTTTTTGTCTTTTATGGTTTGTGTGTAAGAAGTTCAATGATGTTAAATAGATTGGCCTTGTGGTTGCGTTCTGTTTGTAATTATTGACCTGAATCATTACAGATGGATGCAGGCACAGAAGAGAAGATGACAGAAACTTCAAAGATTTCCAAGGATGAATCTGAGAAACCTGTAACCGAAAAATCCAGGTCTGTTCTGTTGTCCTGTGAATCCTAATACTTTATTTTCAGGCATGACCTCCAGTGGAACTCAGAGAATTTTGTCTGGAGTTTCTCCAGTGGGTTTCCTTTTACTTGTGAACAATGCAGCGGGACATTCTGTAAGGATACACAATGGCTCTGCAGAGAGCAGTCAATGAACACACTCAAATTAGGACATGCCTGATATATCTTTTTACCTGTTACATATTTACACGATTGAACTGGCAGTTAACTTTTTTTTTTTTTAATATCCTCAGGGGTCGTGGGTTCAGAGGCCGCGGTCGAGGGGGTCGGATGAGTCGTGGTGTCATGCGGGGTGGGCGAGGAATCGTGAAGGGGTTCGGTCCATCTGGACATGGAATAGGTCGAATGAAGGATGGAGCCATGAATGGATTCGCACCTATGAGGTACAGTTTCTTTTATTGTAAACAAAGAGTCTGGTGATAAAACAAAGGGAAATGCATTTCAAAACTACCACTGATGAGAGCTGTATTTGGGTACCATTAAAATTCTTCAGCTTTATCGGTTTAGGTAAATTACATTTACTGCTATTTCTTTGCAGGGGAATGGGACATATGCGTCCTTACCCAGACCTTAGAGGTCATCGTGGTAGGGGGGGACCAATGGGTATGGGTCCTCCTCCTCCACCTCCGCCATTGCCTCCCATGCACCTCAGAGGCCTCTTCCCACCCATGCCCAGGTAACCACCTCACACACAAGCACAAGTGCTTTGGCAGCTAAATGAACCTTTTACAGGGAAGATTGTTTGCTCTCAAATGGTGACTTGTTTTATCTTGGTACAGTAGCAAGAGTTAGCACGGGAGTTATGAGTCATACGTTGCTTTTTGCCTCCATTGAGTGGGTGTTTGGTGTCATTACATTTGCCTTGTGTGTCTCATTTTATCACTACAGCTGGTTTTGGGTTCGTTTTACTGACACCATCTGCATGAAAATAGTTTCTTGTGTTGTTGTTATGTTTGTCTGTAGGCACGGACCCCCTCCACCACCTCCTCCAGGTCATCCTGGTTTCAGGGGACGACCACCTCACCCACGAGGGCGTGGCATGCCACCTCACGGACCTCCACGCCACTTCCACCCCCGTGGCGCGAGAGGGTAAGAGCTCTTTGATTCTATTTTTAGTATCATGCTTAAGCTTGCCAGTCCCAATTCTCTGCACTTTGCTCGTGCCACTTTAAGATTCTTTATGAGATGTGCTTACACAAGTGTTCCTTTAAATCCATGATGCTGTGAACAAAAGACTGAAGGTTACAACATCAATGCACAGCCCTTCACAGCCCTTCCTGTCCCTTAATTTCATTCCTCTGCCAGTTTGTCTACCAAAAAGAAAAAAGGATGCTCAAATAGTCTTACTACATCAGTTGTTGAGTTTAAGTATATTAATTTAGTTTGCTGTTTGAAGCCAGACTCTCGTGTAGTGCATGAAACAATGAAAGTGGAGTAGACATTTCACTGTAATTTACTTTCAAACGTGCACAGATGTTCAGAGGGGACAACCTCCCTGACTGGAATAATTCAGATGGCTGCTCTTATCAGAGTGTACCCCTATTGGCCAAAGCCAAGAATCCAATGTGTGATTTTATCCTTTTACACAGCTATCACAATGGACCTGTCTCTCCTCCGCCTCACCCCCCACCTGGCAGAGGCCAGAGGTGGCCAGGGCCCCCTGGTGGCCGACGCTTTTAACACAGCCTGCCCTAAAAACAAAAAAGAAGCACTTGTTAAAGGGGCCCAAAGTGGTACAGTGATGAAACGCCACTGAACTATGTGTTACACAAAGTATCTAAGTATTTTTACTCTGTGGCCAAATGTTTGATTGATATTGTCTACTGGCAAATAAATAATGTGAAATGGCTAACGACAAACCCAGGACTCATAAAATGCCTCAAAACTTAATGTAAAGGCATTCTTACCTTCTGTTACCTGTAAAACTTGTTGATACTATAGGAATTATTTGAGATTGTTGAGAAAGAGCTATTAAAAACAAGGTTGAAGCTGATGTTCTCAAAGGGAGGGAAATGACCGTGGAATAGAATTAAATGTTCTGTAGTTCTTGTAACAGTCACCCTGTGAGCCTTAAGACAACTTCCTGAATCTTAATAAAGAAAAAAATATGGGTGACAATGTTAATTTGAAGGTGGGGGGAAAAATAATCAAAGAATGCACAGCAGCCCTCAGGCACCTCTGTTAACTAGTTTCGTACACCTTGGACCTCCCTAACCTTTCCTTTTGTTACTATACTTATGTATTATAACCTCACCATACAGTACTGCACATATTGTTCAACACTCACACACTTTCAAGTGATCAGACAATATTCCACTTGTCAAGTATTCCATTTAATTTTATATTTAACATCATTAATGTGCAGCTATTTTAAGTTATGAGTATTGCTGTTTGGAACATTCATGTTTGTCTCCAGCAGTCTATTGTGTAATGACAAAAAAGCAGAAGGCATTATAAATGAATAGTATACTGAAATATATACATATATATATATCTAGTGGCTTTTATAAATGAAAGCAAATTCTATAGGTATTTGCTTCAGTTAAGGAAAATAAATAACTCTTTACTGTGATGAGTTTTTTTGAAGTGTCACAACTACTTTATTCACTGTAATTAACATAACTTTTGTGAACCTGTGAATGTGTTTTATGAGAACCATCAAGACATATGACGTAGTCGTGAAAAAGAAAAACAATAAAAATAAAAATAAACTCAACCTCTCCTTTTTTTTTGTTTGTTCAAAAACAAGTCTGAGAGTTGTCATTACAATTACAACATATCTGAACTAGTGCTGCTCTCAATGACACTGCAAAGATGCACATCATTTTATAGAACTGTTTGGATGAGTGTGGAGGACCAGGAGCCCTTAATGAGCATAATAGTTAACAAGCATTCAGTGGATCTCACGAGTCATGTCTGTAGAATTGCTGAGGGCTGAAATTTACAATGTAGCAGAAAACATAATTCATTACTTGCATATTTAGTTGCAGAAATACAAAACATGGATTTAATTTGAGCCAGGAAGTGTGTTACCTCATATTTTCTTATGTAAATCTGACTGGAGGACACAAAACCACTCCACTTACAAGGCATTGAGATGACTGAACGTCATGTCACAGTTAAAATTCAGTGGTAGCATGTCTAAAAGGAGGACATCATCTGCAAAGGATAAGCACTCTGATATGACCAAAGACTGTCGTATGTTATTTGTCAGTAATTTTAATTGGACTTTAAAGGGGACTGTGAATTCAATATTATTGTGTATTTTGACCCACGTTCATGCATTTAATTTAAAATACTTACATAGTTTGTCCTATTATCCCATATGTATCTGTAATCTCCATTTAAAAATACTAGAAGTTTATTCTGATGCATGTATTTTTATTAGCTGTTACTGTCATCGAATAACAAAGTACACAGATTTGCTCTGGAATCCATGACATAAAAGCTTTATGAGTGGACAATATTCAATATTTAGATCTTTTTTTAGATTTACAATCACATGATGATGTATTTATTATTTAACTAACTTGTGAACTGCTTGCACTATCAAGGATCTGAGGTTATTTAAAAAAAAAAAGAGCATTCTATTGACCTCTCAGTGGTCAAATACGTCAAGGTCAGTCCTTTTCATAGATGAGCCGCAGACAGGTGTTTCACTTTCCCCTCTTCTGTCTCTTCCTTTATCTCTTCAACACTTTCTATGTCCATTTTGCTGCCTCTTCAGCCTCTGCACTCCCCCCTCCTTTCTCCCTCTGGTTGATATATAACAGACTGACTGTTGTTGTCTCCTGAAGGGGGGGGCACACAGTACAGTTAACCTCCCGGGTCCCCAGGAACCTCTTGCCCTCCTTCAACAGCGGCTTGACAGCTAAAGGTCCGTCTCTTCACTTGAAAAGGTGAGCCTCCTCTTGTGTCTTAATCCCTAAACCCCTCTTTCTCTGATGTCTGGAGATTCTCTCTTTCAGAATGGAAGGTTGAACTACAGATTTACACCTGGCCAGGTCAGACATTCAGGTACTTTTTAAAATAGCTACAAACAAAATGTATTTTTGGAAAGACTTTTGCTTGATTTACATGAAAATGCCAAGAAATCTTAACAAGAATAGCCAGTACACCTAAGGCTAATTCATAAAGCAATATGAGAATATGACCGTCTTTATGATTCATGTCTTAGTGACATCATTTAATGTAAGGGAAGGAGCTAGGGCTAAACACTCTTCAAATGGAGCCATAGAGATAACCAAGTGTATATGATAATAAATACAGGGATCTTCAGGAAACTTCCAGGAAATCTCTTTCAAATGACAGGAAGTATGAGCTGTCAGCTGCTCAGAAAGACTATTCCATGTTGCTGTTGCCAGTTGAACTCGTTTCCCTTGAACTCTTGTTCGCTAATTATTCAATAAATGAAAAAATAAACATCTTGAGTCCTGTGTCTTGTGTTTTATGGTAAATCTGTATACAGAGTAATCTATATCATGGCAGATGGTTGTAGAAAAAATGTTGTGTTATTAATATAGAACTACTAGAATATGTGACTAAATAATTATTTAAATGAAATTCAAAGTTTTAATTAAATGCAAAATGTTATTTATTGGGAAACAGACAATGACAACAAAATGATAATGGCATAAAGACACATGACAATACATACAGACGAATACAGACATAGCTGAAGGACCTTATTGTATTTCAGGCTTTGTTTGATAATGTCTCAAACTATATTTCAGCAATTCAGGAGTTTGTGTTTAATAGTATTTGCATTTTTAATGTCTTCAATATATTAACTGATGTTTGAGAAAAGACATCGAATAAGTGTCTGTTGTTCATCCCTTCATTCACTGGCTGGGCTTGTCCTCTATGGGGTGGTCCTTCCACATGGGTTCCAGGATGTGATCTGGAACCTTCTCCATGGCAGTCTGACAACATTAACAGAACAAGTTGAGAGAAATGAATAAATTAAGACATTTGTGGTCCACAGGCCAAATGAAACATGTCTGATTCAGAATTAGGCAGAGCAGGACTCTGCAGCGTCACACCTTTGTCACCTCCATGGCGACTCCTTCAGGGAGGTTCCTCTGGATGTATTCGAGGTATGCCTGTGCTGTGCAGCCAGTTATATGAGAAAACTACAAAACAGGAGAAAGAACAAATTAAACTGAGGACCTAGTTATCATGAACCACTGTAAATATTGAGCTATAGTTTTATAACCCTCTGGACACAAATGATCGAATGGGTCTTATTTTAAAAGGTGCACACAGGTTTGTTTTATCTACTTTGCCCAATTAGATTTATACTCAAACTGACATTTAGTGGAACCAGACTGGTAAGTACATAGGGTCATTAAACTGAATCAGAATAAAACATGTGCAAGTCCTGCTGTAATAGGTGCAATAATCTTGACAGATGAGCATTATGGCAATCAAACACTGTACATGAACACACAGTCCTGAGAAGACTTACCAGATAAAATAAGATGTACAATGGGTATGTAGGGTTTCAAGAAGAGTAAAATGTCTTCAGTTGACTAATGCCAGTTTGCTTTAAAAGGAGCTAAATCATCATTAAAGTTAAAAAATCAAACAGGGTTTAAACTTTTTACCTCAATGCAGCGGTAGTGCGTCCTCATCTCATACTGGACCCTGTGTTTTTTGAAGATGTGTACTGACTTCAGGAGTGTGAGTCTGTCTATCTCCTTGGCAGGTTCATAACTGTTGCAGAAGAAAAGCATCATGAAAATGACAGCATTAATCAGGTTGCAGTCATTAAACAGCCATCATTTCTAATGTATAGCTGGTTAACTCTGTTAAGACTTACACTTTGCTAATGGTGATACCGAGCTCTTCAGCTGCCATGGTGGCAAAAAACTTGTAGCTGTCCAAGACGGCCCTGTCATGACCTTTGACAAGAACTGACACCTTCTGAAACAGCACATCAGGCTCCTCTGTGATAGTGATCTGCATGGGAAGGGACATTGGTGAAATTCTCACTTTTTAATTATTATAATATTGAGCTGTTAAAAAAAGCATGAAGTAAATAAAGTGTTCTGCTGGTAATTTACTGATGAGGGTTTTGATGAAAGCACTGTTGCCGTGTGGAAGGAAGTGCTGGGCGTCAGTGGCAGATGGGACCTGCAGAGACAGTGAATCATTTCTGCCACATTAATGATTGTTTCCAAAATGTTAAATGTTAGATAATTGTTAAAAATAATACAGATATTTAACGCATCCCTTTATAAATCACTGGGCTTTAATGATGACAGCTGTCTCATAGATTTACCAGAAATGGAAAAATCATTCCTGCATAAAAGGTTGTCTGTGATTTCTCTACATAGAATTAAGCCAGAAGCAGATTATAAATAAATACAGACACCCACCTGATGACATTATATTTCTTGTGACTCGAGCGGGCGCCCAGAGCTGTCGTTCCCTGGAGACAAATACATTGACATTTATAGGCATTTAGAGATGACATTAGCTGTGTAACAACCATACAACTGCTACCAGTGACCACATTGTGAGATGAAATGACCATTTATCTTCAATTTTCTCAACCGAACCAATTGTCAGATTAGTTATTTGTTCCTAGTTGCTGTAAAAAACAAGCAAGTTAATAGTTATTTTACCAAATGTGAGATTCCTGTGAGAATCCTTGCCAGAGAAACAATCTCTCGCCGGAGAGTCATGGGAGCAGCCATGTTTTTTGGAGAAGGAGAGGAAGGACATGAGAAAATCATGAGGTTACTACACCGCCCCCGTGAGGACCGGAGGGTTTACGACTGCTGGCACTGGAGGGTGTTAACATTCTGAAGGTAAGAAACAGGGCACCTCTCACATGTACTTATAAAGATAGTTTTAGATCAAGTTTAATAATACTAATAACAACAACAATAAGTTTTAGATCAAGTTAAATAAATAATAACGAAAAATACTGTAATCATATTACAGAATAATCACCAAAAGAAATATCACTATAAAATTTCCCTCAAAACGCCCTGAAAAATGGACCGAAGTAAGATCTTAGTGGAATATATATTATTAAAAAATAAATCATAAGCCTCCTGCGAAATTACCAGAAAAAAATACCAAACAATTCCAGAATAAATCTCTGATGATGAGAAAAATAATGAAAAAAAATTATAATATTCAGAAAAACGGTTGAAGAATTACTATAACAGTTCTGTAAAATATAATGAAAAATGTTCCTTGATACATTACAGTGATCGTTACCTTTTAAAGCAATAAGTAACATTGAAATCAAATGATGAATTTATAGAAATAGGTGTAATCTCTGCTTTCACTCAGGTAAAAGACGTGAATGCTTCTCCTCCACGTGTGTTAGTGGGCAGACTACACAGGTGAGTCGTTCCCAGCCTGACGATGAGGAGGAAGACACGCGTGCTCTTCCTCCTCCTCCTCCTCCGACAGAAGATGAGATTAAAGTTAAAACACTTAGTGATGGGAGCCGTGAGCGTTTAATTGGGTAGAATCACGTGGCCGTCACGTGACCCCAGCTGTCTGGGCCCTGGTTCAGCGGCAGCAGCAGCAGCAGCAGTCTGCGGGCAGAGGAAGCAGCGGCACCACCATCACCTCCACCTACACCACCAGCAGCAGCAGCGGCGGCGGCAGCAGCGGCACACGACCGAGGTAAGCGCTCCACCGGCCGTTCCTGGTTCTCCCTCTGACAACACGAGTCCCCTCT